TGGAATCCAACAGTCCCAGCCTGCTAGCACCTGATAATACTCTTGAGCGATCCTTCTTCATCCGGATGAAGTCTACGCTCACCAAGAGAGGAGTGCACATCAAGTCCTCAGGATATAAAGTGAGTTGAACACACCACCTAGGACTACGTCACTAACTGAAACTGAGTGCTGTGCTTTCCTGGTCCTCGAGGGCCCCTATCCAGAATGTTCTAGAGGCTTCTCAGCTTCAACAAACCTGAGTTTCATCTTTAGATGATGAACAGGATCCTGCAGAACTCGATTACCTGGTGAAGTAACCATTGACTCAGGTATGTTGGAAGTAAAACATGCTGGATAGTGACACCTTCAGGACCCATATTGGACTGTCCTGTAAAGTTCTATGGGTTGGCTCATTTAATCTGACGTAATCTGACGTAATCTGTGCTAGTGTTTAAGAGAGTGTTTGGAGAGTTGGAGTTTCAGCAGTGTGAAGCAATTAAAAACCCCTTCACTCCTCACGTGTTTTAACAAAAAAGCCCTTGACCACCTTCAGTTGGTCCAGAACTCTGCAGCGAGGCTTCTAACTGGAGCAAACAGAAGAGCACACATCACTCCTGTTCTGATGTCTCTGCACTGGTTACCCGTTAACTTTAGAGGTCATTTTAGAGTCCTGACTAGAACTTTCAGGGCTCTACATGGTCAAGCTCCTCCCTATATTACTGAACTGTTAAAGCCTTATGCTCCAACCCGAGCCCTCAGGTCCACCCACCAGAACCTTCTAGAAGTTCCAAAGACCAGACACAAAAGTAGAGGTGATCGGTTCCTTCCAGACTGTTGCACCCTGACTCTGGAATGTTCTTCGTGTATCCTTACGACACTCGCAACACTCTTACAAACAGCTGAAGACCCTTTTATTTGAAGCTGCTTTCACAAAAAGCTTCTATTTCCTTCATTTTAACTCAAATTTTTAATCATCTTTCATTTGTTTCATGATTATTTTTTCTGTTAATCTACTTCTGTTTTGAGATCATTATGTTTTATTTTGTTTTGTTCTTTGTGAAGCACTTTGCGAGTCCATGTCTGTGATGAGTGCTATAGAAATAAAATGTACTGTAGTTCTGTAGCTATCGGGCGTTGCAGGTCCAGTACACAACCTCACCTCAGGTGTTTTTGTGCTGTGGGTGGGAGTACACAGAGAAAACTTCACATGTTAAAGTATTTTTAAAGCGAGGCATGGATACATGTGGATGATGCTCGGATGTTGGACTGGAAATAAAGATAAAGGTACATATGTCTCAAAAATCACATCATTACATGGATATGAAGCAACTATTGTTTGACGAATAAAGTTAGATCTAGTCCCACTGATGCACTCACTCCCACCTGTTTGAAATGTATTCCTAAGTGTTTGATGCATATGAGCAGACTGCTGGATTAGATGCATTGATGCTGTAGAACAATAAGGTCGGTCTGCACATCCATAGTTGTTATAAATACTGACAAAACACTGTTAAAGTACCCGCAAGTCATCTGGCACCAGGTATCTGCAGCATAAGTCAGGTCCTAAACACATTAACAGGTGGTTTATTGTGTGACTGTTTTTAGGGAGTCCACTCTTCTGGGATATTGCTCGTCTTGGCTTTGATCTGTGTTGTTTTCCTCTCCAGGTGATTCACATCACAGGTCGTCTGCGTATCAGGATGGCTCTGACGCACAGTCGCTCCGTGCCCAATCAGATCATGGGAATGGTGGTGGTAGCTCATGCTCTCCCACCGCCAACAATTAATGAGGTTCGAATCGACTGTCAGATGTTTGTCACCAGAGTCAACATGGACCTGAAGATTGTCTACTGTGAGAACAGGTAAAAGTAGCTTTTTGTTTAAGTGAAATGTTCTCATCCTGTGCATAAAAAAACATGTGGCTCCAGAATCACAGAGGGCAGACCCCTGCCCTGTTTTTTTCAGCTTCTCTATAGAATACTCACAGGTTAGGACACCCCTGTAGGACTTACAAGGCTTTGTTGCAGTAGAGATAGTGACATAGCCACCCTAGGTTTAAAAAAGACAGGGAGACCCTACCAATGTGTTTCTGCATGGTACCATACCTCCTGGGCTACATTCCTTCTTCTAACCTAATGGGCATGTACCGACTATATACAGGTCTATTAATCTGGACCCTCTGGAGGTATTTGCAGTTTACCTGCAAGAGCAGTAAAGTGTACTTGTGAGGACTCCATTGTATACCTGTTGGAAAACTATGGGGCTTTCATTGGAATCTACAGGGGTACTCATGGGGGGGCTGGGGCCCTTAAAGGACCCTACTGAGCATTTACAGAACTCTACAGGGGTTCGGTCAGGGGCAGGGGTACTTACAGAACCCTACAGTTGTACTAACAGGACACTACAGGGGTTCTGATACTGTACAGGATTACTTACAGGGGCAGGGGTACTTACAGGACCCTACAGATGTACTAACAGGACCCTACTGAGGATTTACAGGACTCTGCTGGTTAATGTTCAGGGGTTAAAAGGCAGTGACCCTTACAGAACTATTTGGGTCATTTACAGGACCCAACAGACCTTTGGAGTTAATGAGATATGCGCCAGATCCCAAAAATTTTAGACATCTTCTGTACGTCCATTCTGTGTCAACTTGCATTTCTTGGTTCTTTAAAACACAGAAAAAAAGCATTGTTCTTTACATTGTTTTGCTAACGTTTCAGCTAATTACTGAAGCCATCCACAGAGCTGTGCTGATGTTGGTAGCGTCATTCCTTCTGTGTTTATCCGCGGGCAGCGGTGGACGATGTCCCCCTCTGCTGCCCGCGCCCTCCAACAATGAAAAAACACGACATAAACACACCAACAAAACCACACATAACAGAAAAAGCTCAGGGGCCTCATTTATCACGCTTGCTTTTGCACAAAACGGGGTCGGAAAACTGCGTAAGCAACTTTCCACACAAACTTTGGGATTTATGAAAGAAAACTTAGCGGAAAAATGTGCGCAGCTTTGAGCTGACTAAGGACCTGGCTTACACGCATGCTGGAGATGGAGAGCTCCTGCAGTGCTGCTGCTGAGAAGGATACAATTATGAAATCCTGCAGCATTATCACTTGTACCGCTTCGTTTTCACACAGAACAAGACCCCCCACATGTGCGCGTACACACACATGTGCGCACACTCACACACACAGACACACACACAGCCTGAAGCGCAGAGTACGGAATGCAGAATATCAGCAGGGGGACAGATTGAGACAGAATGACAGTGTGTGTGTGTCCTGTCACTGTGACCAGATTGATCATGCACCCTGGCTACTTGGACAAGGGAGATCTCCGTTTGGGTGACTGGTTAGCATGCATGACTTTCACCCGGGAGTCTGGGGACTGAATCCCGATTGGACCATTCTTTTATAGCCGCCACAGATCTCTCTGAAGAATTCACAACATTGACGGCTTCAGCAACGCTGTGCCACTCCGTGGATTTTCACTTATTTGTTTTGCAAAAGTACTTCCTTTCATTTCTCCACCTCACCCACAGGTACCTCAGCTTCTGCTTCTGTGAAATTACGCTTCCTTGATCTGCCTTGATCTACGGTCTCCATGTCTTTGGCGGAGCGCTGCAACAGCCGGCTTATGTATATGCATGAGGTCCACAAGGCACTTTGCATTGACTATTTATGTCAGTAAGTGGGCGTGGTGAGGGGGTGTGTGACTAAAATGCAGCTGAGAAACATTCTAGATAGTCTCTGATTTATGAAGCTGAGATTGCGTGCAGCTGTGTGTACTCCATGTTTGATAGATCACAAACCTACTTGGCGTAAGTACATTTTTTCGCTGAGCTTAAGTACGGTTTTAGTAAGGATTCTACTCAGTGTTTGATAAATGAGACCCCTGTACACCCACAGGACAAGGTATCAGCAGGACACAAATATGGAGTCATTTCTGAAATCCCATGCAAACTCTGCAATAAAACATACATAGGGGCAACAGGACGCCAACGCAGCACACGAAAAATAGAACATAGAAGGAATGTGAGAAAGAAACAAACTTAAGACACACAAGAGCAGCTAAACAGGAAGCCGAAAGTCCAATAAAGAAATCAGCCGTAAAAGAGCACTTCACAAGGGAAAACCGTAGTACTGGGACAGTACACGGATCATAAACACAGAACAACAAATATAAAAGGTGGGTTTAGGAAGCCATACAAATAAGGAGACGTGGGCACGGACCCATGAACAGACGATGGAGTCTACACGATCACAAAGGGGACTGCGTCACTGACGAGGGCGCGGGCAGCAGAGGGCGACATCATCCTCCGCTGCCTGCAGATAAACACAGAAGGAAGGGACGCCAACAACATCAGCACAGCTCTGAGGGTGGCTTCAATAATTTGTCCAGACTTTAGGTAAAGGGCAACTCTAAATTTCTATGTTTTCAAAGAACCCAGCAATGCAAGTTGGACCAGTTGTTCCTGCATTCGTATGTCATATCTGTTTTTAAGAAGATCAGCATTTCCTGATTTGAGCTGTTATTCATGAGGAATCTGACCCAATCCTGCCTGGTTTAACAGCCAAATATGCCTCTGATGGTCCCGTCTCCTTTTCTCTGTCCAGATGAAGCAGATAAGCATCAGGATCTTGTGCAGGAGTTAACTGGCTGACTGAAAAGATTCATATCAGGCAAACTGAAAAAATCACCCTTCATGTTTTATAATAAAAAAGTGGAGGGAAATGATAGTAGACAGATTGCTTTTTGTGGGTGGAAAAAGGGATACAATGCAAGGCAGATGATGATATTCGGTGTGGAGCGACAGACGTCGTCTCTGTGGGATGTGACAAGCGTCGCTTCCATTATAGATCCATTTGCAGGATGAGTTTCTAAGAGAATGAGAAAATGGGAGGATGTTTTATTCCTAAAGAACATAGTGTGCTGTTATCTGCCTGGTGGACATTAGTCTTTTTCAACCGCCTTCTATCAGAATGAAGCTGGAAATGGTTCTGTCTGTCCCGTGGCAAATTTGTCCAAATTAAACCTTTCAGAGCTGATGTGCGTTACCTCTGCGGCAGACAGTCAGCGACAGCCGTCGTGGTGGCTTTACTGGCCTTTAATGAACAGTTTTGATTTTTTTTTGTCCAGTTTGAAGTTTTGACAAAAATAAATAATAATAAATAAAGTGAAGAGTGAAACTGTTTTATTTTTATATATTTACTCATCTTTCATAAAAGTTAGCTGTAGCTTTTGTTCGCTAAACTTTAAAACTTATTTTCAAGCTTATCGACAAAACCTGCTAACGGAAAAGATGTAGCCTCTGGAGGTCCTTTTGATATTTGCTGTTGACCTTTTGAAAAATAAATCTCACAATTACAGCCTAACTTTTAAAATGTTTTCATGAACTCAGGCTGAAGAGTTTTATGTGTAAAAATTCCTCCATTTAGTGACATTTGTATAAATTAATTATTTGTTCTATAATATTAATTATTGATTCAATGATTTAACGTCACTCACCTGCATGCTGATGTCATTTAATACTTGATGCATGTTACTTCTGTTGTCCACGTTAGCTCATAATTTACTTGTTCTTTATCATCAGAAACTCATAAAAATACATAAAAGCAAGTAAAAAAACCAATTTCACCTCATTTATGTAAGTGGTGATGCATTGCAGTGAGTTGGTGTTTAATGCTGAACGAATGAAAACCTTTGATTTCAGGATCAGCGATTACATGGACCTGACTCCGGTGGACATAGTGGGCAAACGGTGCTACCAGCTAATTCATGCAGAAGATGTGGAGGGCATTAGACAGTGTCATCTAGACTGTGAGTACTGGTTTGTGAGCATTTAACCAGAAACTTGGAAATAAGAATTCATAAAATTGTTTCAGTGGTGTGCACTGGGGAACGGGGATTAGATCACCAAAGGCCGTTAGCATCAGCTCCACTCTGCCTGGACCGTACTGGACGTTTTCTCATTTAGGTAGCTTTAGAGTTTCCCGTGTGCAAGCGAACGTCCTTTCAGCAGTCTTCTCGAGGAACGGAGGCTGAACTGGTCCAACACACCTGGTGCTGCTGACTGATTGGCTGGCTCAAAAGCACACCTAGCATTAGTGGGAGCCTCCGATTGGTGGATAGATCCGCTTGCAGGGGCTTCCCGCATGTGATTCATTATCATTCTGGATGCTGTGGAGTTAACGAGCCTCTGACTGAAGCCGTTTTTCTCTGCCTCTCTGCTGTGAGTGCACACACACACACACACACACACACACACACACACACACACACACACACACACACAGAGCTGCCAGACACAGCAAAGCAGGATGCTATATCGGAGTCTGTTTCCAAAAGCAAGACTGCTCAGGCTGTTTTTGTTTAATAATGGAAACACCACAGACTTCTCCGTCATCTGTTGCCCCACCCACACGCTCCGAGATGTGCTCATTACATCACAGACCACCCATGTGCTCAGTAATGTTCGCATTCCTAAGGCAGTGTGGAACGAACGCGGCTGCACATGGGCGGAGCTAACGCTAGTGAGCGCCAATAGTCTACAGGCTGTTTATGATGGGTTAGCCAACAGTGCCTTAAGGAGTTTGTTGATGTTATTCTTTATAAGTAAAGTAAACTCTACAGTCTGCAGATTCTATTTTTAGAGTTTTAAAACAGCTGCTACATTCAGTAAAAATGGGAATGTTTGTTTCTTGTCAGAGAGGAAGCATCACTTTTGTCAAAGCTATTGATTAGAAAACTCACACACACACACACACACACACACACACACACACACACACACACACACACACATGCCGCTCATTCAGAAGTGCTAGCAGAGAAACAGCAGCAGGCTTGAGGAGTTTCTCTCTGTGACAACATGGGTCAGCGTGTTTGGAACACCCATCATTGGTACCCACTTTGTTCTGTTCAATCACAGGTGGACTAGAGCCCATCTACCCACCCATCCATGTGTCAGTCCATCTATTCATTCATCCATCCATCAATTCATCTATCCATCCATCCAGGCATCCGTCTGTCAATGAACCCATTCATCAGGATCCTCTGGAGGTTTCTTCCTGTTAAAAGGGAGTTTTCCTCTCCACTGTCGCTGCATGCTTGCTTAGTATGAGGATTGCTGTAAAGACTCTGACACTAGTCAGTGACTTGATGCAACCTGCTGGGTTCCTTATATAGGAAACTTTTTCTGATTGGCTTAAGTGACCTGACCTGTATTGGAATGTTTACTGTGTGAAGGTGCTTGAGACGACTCTGGTCGTGATTTGGCGCTTTAGAAATAAACTTAACTGAATTGAATTGAATTGAATTGAATTGAATCCATCCATCCATCGTCTCAGACACCCACCCATCCATTCATCCATTCATACATTCACACATTCATCAGTTTTGCATCAAATAGACCATTAATCGAGTTTTCTCAAAACAATCTTCTAATGTATTTCCATATTAGTAAATAATGTAATGATACACTTTGCTCAATATGTGCCTCACAAGGCAGTAACATGGCAGGAAACAGACTTTCTGCCTTAATAATAATTTTAAAAAGTGACATATTCCTGTGGAAGAAGACACCTGATTAACTAGTAGCGGGTCTGAACCTGAAACTTTCTGCCGTTCTGCTCCAGAAGTTCCTGAGCTCTGCAGAATCAGAGGCACAATCAGGAAGGGCCTCTACGTTGGCCCAGAAGGGTCAAACAGAACGAGCAGGGTTAGGTAAGGATGTGTGGAAAACATGAAAAACAGATGTGAAATATTGAGGAAGATTATTTCTATCTGCAGTAAAAATGGGAGGTCAGCGAGGCGAGCAGGCTGCCAGCGGTTTAAATGACTCGGTTTTAGTGGGGCGTATTCTAATACCGCACCTTCAGTTACCGCCGCTGCTCGTTTCATTCTTCCTCTTTCAAAATTTATTTCCTCTGTGAAAAGGAGGCTTTGAGACATGGGGGTGCAAGAGGTGGTCTGCATCTCCTCTTCCCTCCCTTCATCCACCCTGCCAAGTGGAGCATGGTCAGGCTGTTCTCAGATCTGTTTCCTTACTTTATCATCATGCTGGTGGTTGTGTTGAAGCTGATTCTGAAGCAGCAGCCCAACAAACTCTCAGGCCCATCAACCTGCCTCGCTCACTGGATGCTGCAGCGTGACGGCACTTTTAACACGTGTGCAGGGAAATGCAGTTTACGTCATTTCAGTAAGTTGCCTTTAAAGTATTGTAGTGTGGAACACGAGGAGCAGAGCGGGAAAGACGCATCAATAAATGTCTCGTATTTGCATTCCAGCCATCTGAATTGTAATCATATTATTTAAATAATCCCAGCTCCATGTGGACGTTGTGCGTCTCTCTGCACCTGCGCTCTTTTTTTGTTCATTGCTGCAGGAGTTGAGATGTTAGGCAGTCGATCGATGTGCATTTTAGAGGAGTAGCCTGTTCTCTGAACAGGGATCTAAATTTTAAAAGGCTTCTTTTAAGTGCTGAATGCGGTATGATCCTTCTCTGTGAGGAGGCGTCACTCTCTAAGTCTCTATCATTACCAGCTGACAGCAGGTCTTAGCTCAGGTCAGATCTCAAAGTCAGCCTGTCCCGGTTTCCACTCTGAACGCCACGACAGAGCCAGAAGAAGAAGGGGGAACTGGCAGATAAAACAGAGGGATCAGAAAAGAGGGATCTGTTGAGAGAAAATGAGAAAAAAGGAGAGGATGAAAGGAGAAGGTTGCATTTACTCCAAGAACTGGAAGAAACTGAAACACTGGTGCAGAAACGAGACCGGCTGGAGGATTTAAAAAGGTGAATGTCATGTGTTCACAAAGGAAGCATCACTAAACAACTGCATGCTGAAGGAAACACAACTGTAAAAAGGATTATTTAATTATCGTTTTAATTATAATTCCCACTAGAATACTAAACCAAGGATTTCCATTTTCAGTGGATTTTTATAAGAAACGAGCAGAAACTCATACATTTTAGAGCAAAGTTACAGAAAGATGAATGTAGAGGTTACAGCCGCTTCCACGGAGGAGATTTGTGTTTGAAGTTATGGGAAAGATGATTCAGGAGCAGAATATCAAAACATAAACTCAACTATAATGTAGGTTAATAGGAGGCTGAATGAACTTATAGGAAAGGGTTGACTGATTATTTCAACAATAAAACAACAGATGAAAGAAAAATAAGCACATTAATGTTTTATTAAAACAAAACAAGATTCAGCAAAATTAAATTTTAACAAAAAAAAAACAGAAAAAAAACTTGGTTGGTTCAAGCCTGAGGGCGTTTCAGTCGAGCTCATCTCTCTGAAGCGACTCCACACTCATGGAAAAAACACACACACACTCACACACACACATGATGGATAAAACACACACACACACACTCACACACACACATGATGGATAAAACACACACACACACTCACACACACACATGATGGATAAAACACACACACACACACACACACACACATGATGGATAAAACACACACACGCACTCACACACACACAGGATGGATAAAACACACACACACTCACTCACACACATGATGGATAAAACACACACACACACTCACACACATGATGGATAAAACACACACACACACTCACACACACACATGATGGATAAAACACACACACACACTCACACACATGATGGATAAAACACACACACTCACTCACACACACACATGATGGATAAAACACACACACACACTCACACACACACATGATGGATAAAACACACACACACACTCACACACACACAGGATGGATAAAACACACAGACACACTCACACACACACATGATGGATAAAACACACACACACACTCACACACACATGATGGATAAAACACACACACACACAGGATGGATAAAACACACACACACTCACTCACACACATGATGGATAAAACACACACACACACTCACACACACACAGGATGGATAAAAAACACACACACACACTCACACACATACACATGATGGATAAAACACACACACACACACACACACTCACACTCACACACATGGTATGGAGACAGAACCAGCAGCATCGCTCGGTGATTTTTCTGTCACATTTCTACGTTTTCAAATGTTTCCCTGAGCAGAACCTCGGCAGCAGCAGCAGCTGAAAGGTTTCTGTCCTGCTGCAACAGAGCAGAGCACACATTCACTTTATCACTTTAATCTCCAATCCAATTTTATTTATAAAGCGCATTCACAAGACATTACAACCAAACAAGGCTCTAATTAAAGAATAAAAGCAAATAATATCAGGCAGTGGTCCAGTTTTCATAGTAAACTGTAAACCTTAATAAGTTCACAGAACTCAAAACTTATTTTGGAACAGATTATACAAAAATATTTAAGTGATGTTTTTAAATATTTTAAGTTTACATCAAATAAAAATTACATTAGCAGTTGCCTTAAAATATCTCAATGTTATCTTATAAATATTGACGTCCCTCGACTTATAATTAGGGAGTGATTCACTCAATATTTTCAACCTTTTTCAACTCATATTATTCAGAAATTATACTCAAAATGTTTATTTTTTGTTACTCAAACTTGATAAGTGGATATAACTCAAACGTTTTTGGTGTAACTGGTTACATTCTATACTAACCCAGATATGCTGCTAACTGCACGTGACTCACACACAGACCCATTGATGCTGACAGCCAGTGAGAGTGGAACACCCAAAGCCAAGTCAAATGCATCTGGTGTGAACCACCACAGGAATAATTGAAGTGGAACAGTACAACGTGCTCGTTTCTTTGACCAACCTCCTCACTTATGGTACCAACATCAAACAAAAAAT